TCGTAACCACTACGCTACCAGAGCTCCTTTTTAAATACCACCCATGAAAAAGACAGCTACAGAAACCACGTTGTGCCCATTTAAAAGACTACATTTCCCAGCCTCCCTTGCAGCTAAGTATGATGTAATTAAATTTTGGCCAGTGAGATGTAAGCAAAAAGGTTGTGCGGAACTTCCAAAGAAGTCTTCTTAAGAGATAGAGAATGCTCGTATCTCCTCGTCTTACTACCTTCCTTCTAGAATGTGGACAGTAAGAAATGGCCTTATGATTGGAAACAAATGCTGAGGATGGTTGAGCAGCCTTTACCTGCGTATCTCTGGATTTATTTTATAGTTGCATCTTAGATGGATGCTCGCTAGCTTTTAAGAACCCAGTTTTAAGAACTCACTACACTAAGAAGTAGAACACTGTAAACTATGTTACACCAATTGATTTAGCTGTCCCCTAAGACCTTGATCCTATTTTTCATTATTGCGAGAAATATATTTTTTAATAAGCCATTTTTTTTCCCTTGCAAATATTGAAACCACTTTCGCTCCTCCCTTTAGGAAACAGAATAGTCCAGATTCATTCCTAGTCAGAGAAGTGGGGAAATGGAAGAAAAAAAGGCACTTCCAGGTAAGAAAACACTGATCTCCTTTCAGGATTGAAAGATATAAGGATGATATAATGAGTGGTGGGCCTAGGAATAGAGTGTCTCACTGAATGCTAGATTAAGGGGTTTAGATTTTATTCAGCAAATGCCTTATGAATAGGGATCCCACCTGTCTTACCTACTTTGTATATTCAATGAATGTATTATGCTTGGGTATATTTTTTATTAATGCTTAATTAAAAAATGTTGGAAGTTGAAATGTAAATCACCGTATGTAATTATGATCATACTCATGTTTCCGTTTACAGATGTAATAATTGAGACATCATTTGCTGGAAGTAGCAGTTACCCTAGCTGTAAAACAAGGATGAACCGAAAACTCAGTCTTGAGAATAATGGAAATTAGGATGATGGAGATGGGGATAATGGAATTGAGGGAAGAAGACAAGAAAAAGATGGGGAGCCACACTCTCCAAACGTCTTTACAAGATGGCCGCCCTGCAGCCACCTGACCAGGAGGAGGTGGAGCTCCGCTCCAGTTCGTCCAACCCCACCCCGTTCGGCCCCGCCCCGCGTTCCCTCTAGCCTCGGAGGGCGGGTTGTGAGGTGGCTCAGCGAAGCGCCTGCGCAGTGGCAGCGGCACGCGGGGCGGAGGCTTTATAACCACTTCGTCGCCGCCGTCGCTCGGCTTCTATCTCTCGGAGGGCGGCGGCGCCTGGGGCGCCGGCTGAGGGGGCTGAGGAGGCGGGAGCCGTGGCGGCGCTGGGGGCCCCTGGCCTCTCGGCCTCCGCGGACCATGGGCTCCGAGAAGGACTCTGAGTCGCCGCGCTCCACATCCCTACACGCGGCCGCGCCCGACCCCAAGTGCCGCAGCGGCGGCCGGCGCCGGCGCCTCACCTTCCACAGCGTCTTCTCCGCCTCGGCCCGCGGCCGTCGCTCCAGGGCCAAGCCTCAGGCCGAACCACCGCCCCCGACCGCCCCGCCGCCGCCCGCCCCGGCCCCGGCCGCGGCCCAGACCCCGCCGCCCGAGGCGCTACCCGCCGAACCTGCCGCGGAGGCCGAGACGGAGGCCGAAGCGGCGGCAGGGCCCGGATTCGACGATGAGGAGGCGGCGGAGAGCGGCGAGCCGGGCTCGGAGGAGGTGGAATGCCCGTTGTGCCTGGTGCGGCTGCCGCCGGAGCGGGCCCCGCGCCTCCTCAGCTGCCCGCACCGCTCGTGTCGGGACTGCCTCCGCCACTACCTGCGCCTGGAAATCAGCGAGAGCCGGGTGCCCATCAGCTGTCCCGAGTGCAGCGAGCGGCTCAACCCGCACGACATCCGCCAGCTGCTGGCCGACCCGCCACTCATGCACAAGTACGAGGAGTTCATGCTGCGCCGCTACCTGGCCTCGGACCCCGACTGCCGCTGGTGCCCAGCCCCCGACTGCGGGTGAGCGCGGGGGCGTGGCCGCGGGGGACTGCGGCGGCGGCGGCCAAGAGCGCCCCAGACTTGCGGAGCCGCGCGGGGCCCAGCCTGGAGCAGGCTCGGTGGGGGGAAGGCACCCAACACCCCAAGGGCTTGGGGTCGGCGGGGGTCGGGAGCTGTCCTCCAGGCCGGGGGTCAGGGAAGGGCTCTTTGGCCACCAAAGGACAGCGCTGCGGAGGGGCGTGCTCATCGGGCGAGGGGCAGACTTGACAGCATTGCAGGAGAAGGCGTGTTCCGCCTGACAGCTACTCAGAAGTTGGGATGGGGGTGACGGGGATGGTGCGTGTCTCCTGGGCCAGGCTAGCATTCTCTGGGTCTCACTTGCTCCCTGGGTCAGGAAGAGGAGGGACAGACCCTCTCTCTTTGTCCAGAGAGGAGACTGTTTGTTTAGGTTAGAAGCAGTGGGGCACTGAGAAGAAGGATGCCCAGAGGAGATATTTCGGAGAGAATGTGTTTTCCAGCCTCTTGGATCTTGAGTTCTTGATGACAATGAGTCTTGAGAATGCACTAAGATCAAATGACTTGAAAATATGTAGCCCCTGCAGAGAATGAAGACCAGCCGCTCATGCTCTCTGGAACATTCACTAGAGAGCACCCCCCCCACTTTAAAACCTGACTGTGTTATTGTCAGTATATCCCCCGAATGGCTGCAAACAGCAAAGAGGGGCTCATCGAAGTGATTGGGGGCCAGGCTGTACCATTACTTGTTCTGTGACCTTGGACAGATTATTTTGTTCTTCTGTGTCATGCTTTGGGGCAAAAAAAATGTTAGGGACTCTTTGCAGTGTGTACTTGTAATGCTAGTAAAATGCTCTATGATCCTTTGTTTCAAAGGACTTAAGGGCTTTTAATTGTAACCTGTATCAGGGTTGTTTTGAGGTCTCCGTGATGCTGCTGCTTGTCTCCTTTCTGGACCATCTAAGAGTGTGTAGAGACAAAGGATGTAGAAAAGAAATCCTTTCTCTTTTAATCCCACTTTTCCACAAACTTCTTGAAGACCCCTCATATTTTCATTCTGCCAAACTTGTTTAGAGATGGGTGTGTTGTTTAACCTCATATATGGGGTTTTTAAATTACATTAAATAAAGTGTTGCTGGCACAGGTAATGTGTTCATCTGTGGTAGATCACTTTCACTTTCAGTTAATAAATATCAGAACCTTATAAGCTATTGGAAGGGTCTGCTTATATCTGGTGGTCTGGAAGTCTTACCAGTCTTGAGGTTAATTCATGGGGTGTTTAGACACTATTGATCTAGTTTCTGAATCGAATAATACTATATAATTCTAACCCATTGCCATTGAGTCTATTCTACCTCATATTGAAGGAGCTCTGGTAGCGTAGTGGTTATGAATTGGGCTGCGAACCTCACGGTCAGCAGTTTGAAATTACCAGCTGTTCCGCGGGAGAAAGATGAGGCTTTCTGCTCTGGTAAAGATTTATAGCCTCGGAAACCCTGTACAGGGTAGCTATGAGTCAGAACCGACTCCACAGCACATCACAACAACAACAACTTCATAGAGACCTCGTAGAACAGGGTAGAACTGTTCCATACATTTTGAGACTGTAATGCTTTACAAGAGCAGACTGCCTCCTCATTCTCCCATGGAGTAGCTAGTGGGTTTGAACTATTGGTTTTGCAATTTGCAGCCCAATGCTTATACCACTGTGTCAACAGTGCTCCTTAAAAGAATACTCTAGTCTCTTTTTATATAAGATGTCAGTATCCTTGAATTTTTAACTAAGACATGTGGTGGCAGTTTTAGAACAGATCTGTAACAGTATGCAGACTACCTTTCCCTTTTTCTCTCTTCTTTTTTTTTTTTTATATCACAGCCTGTAGGCATTGGGCTACTAATCCAAGGTCAGGTCTACAGTTCAAATCCACCATCTGCTATGGGAGAAAGATGAGGGTGTCTGCTCCCATAATGATGTACAGTTTCAGAAACCCTATAAGGTTACTATGTTGTTAAGTGCCATTTAGTGACCCTGTATAGGGTTTCTGAGGAATGGCTGGTGGGTTTGAATTGCTGACCTTGTTGTTAGCAGTCCAGTGCTTATCCTACAGTGCCACACCAGGACTCCAGGTATGTTGGAATCAACTCCATGGCTGTGGGTTTTGTTTTGTTTTTTAAATGCATGCCAGCCACTATTCCAAACCTTATGTGCCTTGTCTCTATTCTGTCATTTTCTCTAATCCTCACAACCATTGCAGGAACTTTGTTTTGTTATCTGTACTTTACATTGAGGAAACTGAGGCTTCCCTAAAATCACACAGTTATTGAACAGAGCCAGGATTCAAATCTTGGTAGGCTCAAGGCTAGAGGCCGCCAATATCCCCTCCTTATTGTCTCAGTCCTTCTCACCCAGGTCTCCCTCAGCGTCAAAGCTAGAGCCCAGGCCAGGGTCAGCAGTCTGTAAACATTAGATGATATTGTATTTTTGATGAAAGTTTGCATAATAAATTAGGTTCCCAGTGTGTCAATATTCTCATTATTTCTGTTCTGGTTGTTCCATTTCTATTTATCTAGTTTCCTGCCTCCCATTACCTTTTCATTTTTGCTTTAGAGTAAATATTGACCACTTGGTCTCATGTCAGGACCCCTGGTGACACAGTGGTTTAAGTGTTGGACTGCTAATCAGAAGGTTGGTGGTTTGAATTTATCAGCCATTCCACAGGAGAAAGATGGGGCTGTAGGCTTCTGTAAAGATTTACAGCTTTGGAAATATTAAAGAACAGTTCTACTCAGTTCTATAGGGTTGCTGTGGTAGTTGGTGGCTATGTGCCACCACACTGATTCTGACTCAGTAGTGACTGTATAAAGCTTCTGAGGCTGTGAATCTTTATGGGAACAGAAAGCCGCATCTTTCTCCCACTGAGCAACTAGTAGATTCAAACTACTGACCTTATGGTTAGCAGTCCAGCTTCTAATCCGCTACACTATCAAGGTTCCTTAGGGTTGCTATGAGTTGGAATCAACTCAGTGACAGTGGTAAGAGTTTAATGGGCACCATCAAGGCAAGCAATCAAGTCCCTTCAGGACAAACCCCCCTCCAAGACTGAAACTCAAAGGGAACACACGGACAGGTATGTAAGCTTGCTGGCGACCACTTTGGTCTACTGGTATGTGGAAGAATGGGAAATGCAGTAATGAAGACATGGGCTGAGTTCACCCACGTTCCGTGGACTCCCATTGACCTGGAGATGAGAGAGAGAAGAGGAAGGGCTGGTTGGTCCAAAGCATGGTGAGACCTGGGGACTCCTGAGCCCATGAACAAACACATAGGCATGGAGGGCTGGAGCTGAGAATGAATCATCCAGCTGATATGAAGTGAGGGGAGATGCACAAGAATGCCCATACTTGCTGATAGTAACTCATTTGACCTAGCCTCTATGGCTTGATGATCAGAACTCAACTAGAGGAAAATTTTAAAAAAAAAATGTTTTTTTGGATAAAGGAAACAAGTGTAAATTGCTACAACTTGATGAACTTGACTTATACATAATGGATGTAGTAGCTCAAAATACCAACTGAGAGGGAAGGAGTGTTCACATCAAGTTATCAATCCTATCCCCTCTGTAAACAGGGTCGATAGGAATGGGCAACTTTGACACTGGCTACCTAAAATGAGGGGACAATAAAGGCACGAAGTTACCTGCTTACAGGTTTTCAAGAGGGAGTTTAGTTTAAAGAGTGTGCAGGGGAAGGTAGCGTTCCCACTGAATAGTTTTCATCTTGTCTAGACGGGCCTGGTGAGATGAGATTGGATAAGATTCTTAGGATTCAATAGTGAGTAATTGTTATCATGACTAATTGCGACTATCACAACTGTCAAAGTAGAAGTTTTGTAACAAAAATGGGGAAGTGGTTAATCTTATAGTCCAGAAACAGAGGACCCTAAGACCATCAAGGGAGAAGAGCATGAGCAGAATGTGAGACCCTATCCAGAGAAGCAGCAACACCAGGGATGGAGGCGAAGCTGAGGACTCTAGATTCATGGAAAGAGAAAGACTGCTGGCAGCCAGGAGGCAGGCTTGCAGAATGTACCCTTTGATGTTTAAATGATTATATATTCCTGAGTGTTTTTGTGTATATCCCTCCCCCACAAAAATACAAAAACACAAAAGAACCAGAGAGAATAGAAGCAAATACTGTTGAATGATGATGTATGGATGAGATTATAATCATTGCAGTGAAACAAACGATGGTGTAAAATCAGTGTTCTCCCATGTAAACTATCACTCAATTTACAATAAAAACTTTAAAAAATAAATAAATAAAAGAAGAACTTAAAGGTTATTTCAGAACAGTAAGGGTTTCTCTAGTGTCAACCAGTTCAGTCAGGCTGTACTTTTTAGTAATTTGAGTTTTGTTTTACATCTATCCTCACATTCTGTGTGAGTCCATTTATTGTGTCCCTGATCAAAATGGTCAGTAGTGGTTACTGGGCACCGTCTAGTTTTTAAGGTCCCAAGGTAGATGAGGCCTTGGTTATTGGTTTGTGTAGGCTTTTAGCCCTGAAAACTAGTTTTGTCTTTGAGTCTGGTTTCCTTCTTTGTCTTTGTTCCAGATACATAGAGACCAGTAGTTGCTCTTGAGCTTTTAACACCCCACACACTACTCACCAAACTGGGTTACAGAATATAAACTTTGTAACTGTTAGGGCAGTTAACTGAGATGGTCCTTGAGATTAGTCTTAAAACTCAAACTCAGTAAACCAGACCTCTGAGGGGTTTAAGTCCCATATATGTATTTTTTTATTTCTCTGAAGTTAATTTTTGTCTTTGTTCACATCAATAAAAAAATTAATTTGCAAAGCTTGGTGGCAGCTATAAACTATTACTCATGTGAACGTTATTAAAAAATGAGGCCCTTATTTTGGTCAAGTATTATGTTAGTATCATTCAGCTTTAAATTATTAAAAATTGGTTAGAAGATTCGTAACAGTTATATATATGTGAAGG